GTCCTTTTTAATGCTGACCCTCTCATCGTAAACCAATGCCCTTAAGGTTTGGGCTCACCCACCTGAGGAAAAAGGCCTTGGCTATTCATCTTATCCATACCCTCATGATTTTATAAACGTCCATAAGGTCACCCCTCAGTTTCCGATGCTCCAGGGAAAAAAAGACCCAGCCTGTGCAGCCTCTCCCAATAGTTCACACCCTCTAGTCCTGGCAACATCTTTGTAAATATTTGTTGTACCATATCCAGTCTAACAACTTCCTTCCCACAGCAGGGAGACCAGAACTGTACAAGCAGTAAAAGTGGGCTCAACAAATTTCCCACACAGCCACAACATGACATGTCAACTCCTGCACTCAATGCACTGACCAATGAAGGCAAGCATAGTGCTTTCTTCACCACCTTGTCCATTGACGATTCCACATTCAAGGAACTAAGCATATGAACCCCTTGGTGTGTTTGTTTGGTAACACTCCCCATGGCCCTCCCATTAAGTGTATAAGTCCTGTCCTGTTTTGAGCTATAACAGAAACTGCTGGAAATGCTCAGCAGGGCTGGCAGCATCTGTGCAGGGAAATCAGAGTTAACGTTTCAGACCTGGTGACACTTTCCCAGCTCTGAACAAAGGTCACCGGATCTGAAACGTTAACTCTGATTTCTCTTCACTGCCAGACTTGCTGAGCTTTTCCAGAAACTTCTGCTTTGGTTTGTTATTTTTGTCCTCCTCAGTCACTGATAACATCAAAAGTTTCCATCTATGTCTGAACTCAATATCTACTCCATATATGGTTATTGTAATGATGTAAAATGTTGATCTATTTGTATACTTTGACTGTAACTTTGAAAATGCCCTTACTTAATGTGAATTCATACAGTTATTGAATTGTGGAGAAGATTCAGTCTATCCCTCTTCAAATGTTGTGAATGACAATGGGCTTTCAAAGATGAACTTTACTGGAACCAGGCTGGTTTATATTGAGAATAGAGAAAAGAAAGATATATTTGTATTTTGTTGGTGGTGTTTGACCCTTGGATTGATTGTATAACCCTGGACATTGAATCAGACTCGCATTGAGCTCAATCAGCTGTGACTGTGGAAAAAATGTTCTCCGCTCTGACATTGGTAACATACCTGCTGTTTGGCAGAGCAGCTGGTCACACTTGGTGTTGTACCGAGGAAATATTACATTGTCTTGGCCCATCAAATATGTGCCCGGAAATAGAAGAGATATCTGCTGTAAATCAACATCAACCGAGATTGAAAATATCAGACTGATCGATGCAATATTTAGTTGATGTGAATGATGATTCCTTGTTTTAAAGCCAGCAATTTGAACAGAGCAGGATCTGGTTACATAATTACTCTGAGCTCCTCCTCGTCCCGTTCTTTTTGCCAAATTCAAAAAATAACAATCACAAAAGATTTTAAAAAAAACCTAACCAACACCTGTACAGCTTCATGAATGGAACGCTTACACAGTTCAATATCCAGCTCCCAATTCACTAACCGTTGAAGGGAAGGACAACGATCATGTTTTCGAATATCTTACTTGAGACTATGAACCCGGTTACTGCTATATTTATCACTTACATAACTATCACATTTGCATATAATGACTTTTCTTTCCCACGATTCAATGCCAATTCGCAAACAACAACAGCGTGAAACAGAAGCTAAACGATGATTTTCCATCAGTGTTTAGTGGAGGAAAAACCACAAAAACGACCCCCAGTAGTTTCTTGCCGCTGTGTCTCCCTCAGCAGGCCCACACACAGCCCGAGAAAGGCCTCTCTCTTCCCCCACCCCAGGCCGCTCACTCCAAGTTCCGGGACCAGTTCCTGCTCCGCTCGGCCTCTTACATACAGCCCCCGGTTTTCCCTGAACTGAGCCCGAATCAATGCCGCTGTCGGAACCCCGCTCTGTGTCCCAGACTCACATCTCGATGTGCTGCTGCAAGGAGCCTGCTGTTCCCTCGGTCCCCTGGGCGCTAGTCTCTCCATTGCGGTCTGTTTCAAACAAACCTCTACCACTAACTGAGTAAATGCTCGTCAATGGCAGCGCTGTGGGAGGGCTTCACGCATGCGCTCATCCAGACAACCTACAGCAGCATAGGGGGCGGGGCCAGCCTCGCGCATGCGCTACTTTTCCAAATAATTCCCAAAACAAACATCAATTGACCATTTCCCCAATTCACTTTTCTCCCAGTTTGAACAAAGCAACTGGGGGCTGTGGGGGAAAGGACAGAGAACGTTTGTATATAATGACTTTTCTTTCCCACGATTCAATGCCAATTCGCAAAAAACAGCAAGAAACAGAAGCTGAAGGATGAATTTCGATCTTTTCCCGGATCATGTTAATAACTGCCTCCTTCCGGCTGTTTCACAATCTGATGGGGAAGTGGAGAAACTGACGGCCATTCAGCCCGTTAGATGTGCTCCACAATTCAAAACATCACGTCTGATCTTATGTAAACTGTAGTATTCCATTGTGCTGACCTTCGTCCCCATATATTAACACTGTCAAAGTAACGTACAGAGCGATGAATATATCTGTTGGAGGGAGTCTTGCGGCGCAGTGGTAGTGTCCCTATTTCTGGGTCAGGAGGACCGTGCTGAAGTCGCCCCCGGACCAGAGGTGTGTAATAACATCTCTGGACTCGATGCAAATAACAGTTTGGAGCAGATGACTGATTTTATTCTTGCGTCTGCTGCAGACAGAAACCTTGTGATGAACAGGGTACCGCAAAGAAAGACTCCAGATGTTTTTGTTACTTACTCCTAGGAGATGGATATCGCTGGCTGGGCCCAGCAGTTATTGCCCGTCCCTAATTATTCCTTTGAGAAGGTGGTGCCGAGCCGTCTTCTAGAACAGTTGTAGTCCATCTGCTGCCCACAATGCTATTAGCAGGCAATTCCAGGGTCTTGATCCAAGGACAATGAAGGAAAGGGGATATATTTCTAAGTTCGGATGGTGGGTGGCTTGGAGGGGAACTTGCCCTGTATCGAAATTGTGTTCCTCCACATCTGCTGCCCAAATCCTTTTAAGTGGATGTATTCGTGAGCATGGGAGGTGCTCTTTTTACAGTTCACAAATTTGTAGTTTAAGAGGGCTATTCAATTTAGTTTTTGATCCACAGAAGAGGCGTTCAAATTGAGAAGAAAAAGATATTGAAAGAGAAAAAAGAAGTCCCTGAAGCTGGGGAACATTTCAAAATCAGGAAAGAAGAAAAAAAAAAGTATTGATGATGAAAGAGCAAATGAGGAAAAGGTTATGTTTGCAGACGCCATTAAAAAAAAGCCTACTGTTAATGTATTGATAAATATGTAAAATGAGAATGGAAATAAAACTACTTTGGTAAACACGTCACTTACAATCAAAAAGAGGGGAGTCCATTACGGGGAATAAAAAATGTCTATCCAACTGAATACTTATTTTTGTTCTATGTTCACAAAGGAGGACAGATATAACACACCAGGAATGCTGGGGAAACAGAGTTCAGTGAGAAGGAGAAACTGAATCAAATCAGTATTATTTAGCAAATTGTGTTGAAAAATTTGATAGGATTGATGGCTGGGAAACACCAGTGACTGATAATTTAAGGTCCAGAGCACTTAACACAGTAGCCTTTGAAATAGTGGATGTATTGCTGGTCATGTTCCATACCTCTATGGGCTCTACAATATTTCCAAAGATTGGAGGGTAGCTAATGTAAGCAATCTATTTGAAAAAGGAAGTAGAGATAAAACTTGGAATTTTACACCGGTCAACCTGCAGGAAAAAAATATTTTATTGCAGATAATTTGGCATAAAATGTCAGGATCAGACAGAGTCAGCATGGATTTGAAAGGCCTGTTCCTCTGCTGTATTGTTCGATGTTCCCAGCCTGACAACTCTACTGAAGTAAAGACGATAAAGCAGAGGTGTTAATTCTAATTTACATAAGATATTAGCATGTTAAAATCAAGGAAATGGGATTCGTGCAGAGCATTGAGGATGACTTTCTAAAAAAAACTAGTCAGATAAGAAGAAACACAAAAGAAATGAATGGATCTTTTTCTCAATGGCCAGCAGTGACAAGGGGTCATGGCAAGAATCAATTTTAGGATCAAAGCTCTTCACAATATATTCACAATGGTTTAGATGAGGGAACTAAATGTAGTATCTCCAGATTTATTGATGAGACAAAATTGGATTGGATGGTCAGCTCTGAAAGAGGATGCATTGTTTGTGAAGAAGTCAAGTCAGTGGGCAAATGCATCTGAGGCACTGTATAATGTGGATAAATGTAAGGTTATACATTTTGGTAGCAAAATAAAAGGAAGACACGTCATTTTCTGGAAGTCCATAATTGGACACAGTAGAATTTGCAACGAGACCTGGGTGCCCTCACAAACCAATCACTGAAAGTAAGCATGTAGGTGCAGCAGGCAGTAAGGAAGGCAACTGGTATGTTGGCCTTCATGGAGAGTGAATTTGAGTACAGGAGAAAGGATAAATTGCGACTATTTAACAGGGCATCTGTGAGACAACACCTAGAATACTGACAGCAGGTGTGGCCTCCTTATCTGAGGAAGGATGGTGTTATTATAAAGGTAGTTTTAATGGGCAAATCATTGGGATGGAAGGAGAGGTTGAAGTGTTTGTGAATATGTGGGCTTAAATGCAGAAGAATGAGAGATTCTCTTCGAAACCTGTTAGACTCTGGCAGACCTAAACAATGTAAATGCCAGAAGAATATTCCTGATGGTAGGAGTCATATGTTTCGGAGAAGGGATTGGCCATTTAGGGCTGAGAAAGTGAGAGTATTCTTCATTCAGAGAACGGTATGCCTGTGGAATTCTCTGCCACAGAAATCAGCTACATCCAACACACTGCGTGATTTGAAAATGGTATTGGGTGTCGCAATTGTGGCGAAAGGGAATCAAGGTATAATTGGCTTAACGGCAAGAGACAGAGAGTGAAGATGGACGGCTGTTTTTCAGACTGGAGGCCTGTCAGCAGTGGCTTCCACAGGGATTGGTATTGGCTCCGTTATTGTTTGTCATATATAAAAATGATTTGAATGAGAATATAGAAGGCATGGTAGCACGTTTGTGAATGATAGCAAAGTTAGTAGTGAGTGAAGAAGGTTTTCTGAGATTACAAAGGGATCGTGATCTAATCGGCAATGGGCTGCAAAATGGCAGATGGAGTTCAATCTGGATAAATGTGAGGTTTTACATTTTGGTGCAAGGGTAGGCCTTATACAATTAATGGTCGGGCTTTGGGTAGTGTTGTAGAACGGAGGGACCGAGAATTCTTTTCAGTCTGCATCACATCTAAACAGGGTGGTTAAGAAGGTGTTTGGCACGCTTTCCTTCGCTGCTCAGTCCTTTGAGTTTAGGAGGTGGCAATCACATTGAGGTTACACAGGGCATTGGGAGAGGCCACTTCTGAAATACTGCGACCAGTTCTGGTCGGCCAATTAGAGGAAAGATAGTGAGACAACAAGGTGCAGAGCTGGGTGAACACAACAGGCCAAGCAGCATCATAGGAGCAAAAAGGCTGATGTTTCGGGCCTAGACCCTTCATCAGAAATGGGGGAGGCGAAGGGGATTCTGAAATAAATAGGGAGAGAGGGGGAGGCGGATAGAAGATGGAGAGAGGACAAGATAGGTGGAGAGGAAACAGACAGGTCGAAGAGGCGGGGATGGAGCCAGTAAAGGTGTGTGTAGGTGGGGAGTTAGGGAGGGGATAGGTCAGTCCAGGGAGGACGGACAGGTCAAGGGGGCGGGATGTGGTTAGTAGGTAGGAGATGGGGTTGCGGCTTGAGGTGGGAGGAGGGGATAGGTGGGAGGAAGAACAGGTTAGGGAGGCAGGGACGAGCTGGACTGGTTTTGGGATGCGGTTGGGGGAGGGAAGATTTTGAAGCTTGTGAAATCCACATTGATACCATTGGGCTGCAGGGTTCCCAAGCGGAATATGAGTTGCTGTTCCTGCAACCTTCGGGTGGCATCGTTGTGGCACTGTAGGAGGCCCAGGATGGACATGTCGTCTGAGAAATTGGAGGGGGAGTTGAAATGGTTCGCGACTGGGAGGTGCAGTTGTTTATTGCGAACCGAGCGTAGGTGTTCTGCAAAGCGATCCCCGAGCCTCCGCTTGGTTTCCCCGATGTAGAGGAGGCCACAACGGGTACAGCGGATGCAGTATACCACATTGGCAGATGTGCAGGTGAACATCTGCTTGATGTGGAAAGTCTTCTTGGGGCCTGGGATGGGGGTGAGGGTGAGGAAAGATAGTATTGAGCTGGAGACGGTTCTGAAGAGATTCATCAGTAGTTGCCGAGTATGTAAGGTTCGAGTTATAAAGAAAGGATGGATAAGCTGGGAGTATTTTTTTCACTGGAGTGTAGGATGTTGAAAGTCAGCTTATAGAAATTTATAAAATAATGAGGGGGTAAGACAGAGTTAATGGTAATTGTCTTTTGCCTGAGATGCGGGTAATTGAAGAGCAGCGTGGACATTTTTAAAGTGACAGGAGAGAGATTTTTAAAAAAAGACACGAGGGGTATTTTTTTTTCATGGAGCCTGATGCATGTGGAATGAACTTCCTGACGAAATGGTCTATGTGGCTACAATTAGAACATTAAAACGATATTTGGATAAGTACATAAATATGACAGGTTTGAAAGGAAATAGGCCAGTGAGAGGGAGGTGGAACTAGTTCAGTTTGGCATTATATTCGGCATCTACTGATTGGACTTAAGGGTCTGTATCCTTGCTGTATGACTCTATATGAGAGAAAAACGGACACAGGCTATTGAGTTGGATGATCTGCCATTTTGATAAGTGGGAGGAGAGGTTTGAAGGGACGATTAGTTAGGTCCAGTTGCCACTATCTATGTTTCTGTGTCTGTTGATTTCCAGAACCAATGTTGAGTATAGTCGCCGGAATGAAAAATACTAATGTGGGTCAATATAACTTCAAACCAGATGATTGGCTCTTGCAGCTGAATCTGCAGAAGAGCGAATCTCCGGCGCACAGACCTCAGAGAGTTTAACGGTTACTAAGGAGAAAAAAAACTACAACTAACTCC